TTTCAAAGCAGACACTAAGACTCATAACCAAACCCTCGGCAGAGTGCAGGGAATCATATGAAAGAAGGGAAGTTAGTATGATATGGAAAGGATAGGAGCTCTACAAGGACCAAATATATCTGGGCACAGGGTCTTTTCTGAGACTGACACTCAACCAAGGACCATATATCCATATATCTATGGATATAACGTAGAACTTCTGCTCGGATGTGGCCTGTGGTAGCTCAATAACCAAGTAGTTTTCCAAAGTAAGGGGAACACGGACTATTTCTAACAGGATCTCAAGGGCAGGCTGTTTGACACCACCCCCCCCCAGGGGAGGAGCAGTCTGTTAGGCCACAGAGGAGGACTTTGCAGCCAGCCCTGAAGATACCTGATAAAACAGGGTCAGATGAAAGGGGAGGAGGTCCTCCCCTATCAGGGGACTTGGAAAGGGGCAGGGAGGAGACCAGGGAGGGAGTGTGGGATTGGGGAGGGAATGAGGGAGCGGGATACAGCTGGGACACAGAGTTAACAAAATGTAACTAAAAAGAAAAATAAAATAATAAATAAATAAATAAATTATTTTGTCAGTGATTTTATCTTTGTCTCTTTTTTTATTGCTAAAGTTGGGTTCTTCTAGAGGCAACATATTGCTTTTTTTGTTTGTTTCTCAAATTTATTGTTTTCCTTTTTTGAAATTTGTACCTCTGGTTAATTAGTTATTACTACTTTTATGTGGCTGTCTTATCAGGGTGGAACCTTTGAATTTTTCCCCATGAACAAGGCCTATCAACTCATGTTGTCATTACGTAGGTTATTAAATTTATTTGGAATTTTATGGTTACAGCTTTTTTTAATATATAAAGGCAATATCTCACAGCAGATATCCTGGTCCTCTGGCTCTTAAAATCTTTTTTCCCTCCTTTTCAGCAATGTTTCCTGAGCCTTAGACATTTGTTTGCTATATAGTATTAGTTTTGACTCCATATGGTCACCAACTCTTCTTTCCAATTCTTAGATTCTTATGCAATAGTGCTTAGTGAGTTTGGGCACTGTATATGCCTTGTAAAAATGAGGTATACCAGCTGTCTCTGTCTCCAAGAATAGACAGACACCAGCCATTTACCAGGTAAGGGGGTATGGGCAGCAGAAAGTATAAGGCATTCATTATATATACTCCTGAAATAGGAATGGTAGTTCCTCCTATGCATTGGGGTGAGAGGGTAGAAATCAACTCAGGCCCTGTTAGTGGTATTTCTACTTCAAGCAGGGGCCTGAGGCATCAGTGGCATGAGCAATTATGAGGAGCCTGTACCACCAGTTCCCCAGCCTGTAAGTAAACAGTGAGGGCCTAGATCCTGCACAGGGATATATAGTCTACTTAGGAAAAAACAATACAGATTTTGGCAAGACCCAGAAATATATATATATATATATATATATATATATATATATATATATATATAATCTAAAGCTACAGTATTTTTAAATCGATTTTTTTTAATGTAGAACAAAAAAAATTAAAATATGACTATTATCTAGTTTGGTGTAGAAACAAATATTTTAGTTATAAAGGTTTTTATTTATATATGTAGCATTGACCCTCCTAAAACTGTTAGTGGGATGATAATTTTACAAGTTACCATCTCATGCAAAAATTCTGTACTTGTTTGAGAAGGACAAAAAGAAGTAATGGATCAGGTAATTTTTATGATTTGATTATATTGAAAATTCTACCTTACAGTAGTATCTGAAGCCATCAGGGGTTGGTAAGGCCAGAAAGAACACAAAGAGCTACATCTTTGCAGGGGTCTTAGGTTATCTCCATGCATAGTCCTTGGTTGGAGTATCAGTCTTAGGAAAGACCCCTGTGTGCAGATGTTTTTGGTTCTGTTGCTCTCCTTGTGGAGTTCCTGTCCTCTCCAGATCTTACTGTTTCCCACTTCTTTACAAAGATTCCCTGCACTCTGCCCAAAGATTGCCCATAAGTCTCAGCATCTGCATTGATATTCTGCAGGGCAGAGCCTTTTAGAGGTCCTCTGTGTCAGGCTCCTGACTTGTTCCCTCCTTTTTCCTTCTTCTGATGTCTAGCCTGTTTGCCTATCTGGATAGGAATTGAGCATTTTAGCAAGAGTCCTCCCTCTTGATTAGTTTCTTTAGGTGTACAAATTTTAGTAGGTTTATCCTGTATTATATGTCTATATGAGTGAGTATATACCATGTGTGTCTTTCTGCTTCTGGGCCTAAGACCCCTGCACAGATGTAGCCCATAGCAGTTCAGTATCCAAGTGGGTTCCATTGTAATAGGAACAGGGTCTGTCTCTGACATGAACTGATTGGCCTGCTCTTTAATTACCTCCCCCTGGGGGGGAAGCAGCATTACCAGGCCACAAAGAAGACAATGCAGCCACTCCTGATGAGACCTAATTGACTAGGATCAGAAGGAAAGAAAAGAAGACCTCCCCTATCAGTGGACTTGGGGAGGGGCATGCATGCAGAAGGTGGAGGAAGGGAGGGATTGGGACGGGAGGGGGGAGGGAACCACAGGGGAGATATTAAGTGAATAAAGTGTAATTAATAAAGAATAAAAAAAGAAAAACAAAACAAAAAAAAAGAACAGAAAGAGGTGGAGGAAACCGCAAGGCCTTCACTTCATAACTCACTTTACTGTGTGGTTTTTGTTTTACAAGGAAAAAAAAATGTTCAGTAAGTATCATTGTCTATACATAGTCCTATCTCTTTCCAAACTCCACACTTGGGAAACGTACTACTGTCTATAGAGAGAGGGATGAACATACTCTGTGTAGGTAGCCAGTCCATGCCCCAGAATCTGTATGGTAGCTTATAGTTAATTTCCTTTGTTCTCAAGAGTCCCGTATGTTCATGAGTGCCAATGTACTTTGTTTTACTTTATCAAGGAAGGAGCAATAGGTCAGTAGATAGTATACTTTTTTGAATAGCTGGAAGGGACTGAGTTTGGATCTCCGAGACCTGTGTGAAGTCAAATATGTTAGAAAGCTAGCATACAATCTCAGCTACCTATAGTGAAGAAACAGGAAAATCTTCAGAATCTTGTAGGCCATCCAGCCTGATGTGTGCAGAGGGGAACAAGAGACCCTGCCTCCCACAGGTAGAAGGCAAGGACTAACCCTCAAGGTTGTCCTTTGACCACCACATTTGAGTCACGGCACATGTACACCCACTCACACACAGAAACACTCCACTATCCATGCTACTGCACAGGGTTAAAGATGCATTTAAAAAAAGAATTAATTACCATCAGGGTCCTGAACTATAAGCCATTTTCCTTCTGAGGTTTGCTCTGTTTGTATTTTCTCGGGCAAAAGTTCCTGCATCAGAATCTAAAATGTTTGCTCAAGCCATGCCACATTTAATTCGTTCAACATGTTGGCTAATAGAGCCAAACCATCTGCCGTCTTCACTTCATTTTTCTTAGTGTAAGTGAAGTGCTGCACATTAACTTGAAAAATCAGGTAGGAGGAGGCCCTACACAGTGTATTTCTCAGAATAGCTCCACCAGAAAATGAGTTGGACCAAGACTATCTGGGCACTATGCTGCCATTTTTTCTTCTTATGTCACAGGAGATGCTTATCCTCTCTGACAGGAACCCCTCGACTCTCTACCTCTTGAAGCAGCCATAGGCTATGCCATAGTTGAAAAAGATATAGTATGTTACTAAGCAGATCTTGCCACTTTACTCTGAGCTTCAACTGTTGTTTGTGTTTGTTTGTTTTTTCTTTATGTAACTCTTTTGTGGCCAGAAAAGTAAAATATAGAATCAGAAAATAAGTATGTTAGTATTCAGTCAAACTACTATATTCTCCTACTTCATTCTTTTTTTCCCACTTTATTTTTTTTTAATTTTATTTTTCTCTTTAGTTACATTTGTTAATTCTGTATCTCAGCTGTATCCCTCATTCCCTCCCCAATCCCATCCTCCCTCCCTCATCTCCTCCCTTCCCCTTTCCAAGTCCACTGATAGGGGAGGACCTCCTCCCCTTTCAAATGACTCCGTTTTGTCAGGTATTTTCAGGACTGGCTGCAAAGTCCTCCTCTGTGGCCTAACAGTACTGCTCCTCCCTTGGGAGGTGGAGAGGTCAAAGAGCCAGTCATTGAGTTCCTGTTAGAAATAGTCCTTGTTCCCCTTACTATGGGAAACCAATTGATTACTGAGCTATCACGGGTCACATCTGAGCAGAGGATCTAGGTTTTATCCTCTCATGGTCTTTGGTTGAATGTCCATCTCAGAAAAGACCCTGTGCCCAGATATGTTTGGTCCTTGTGGAGTTCCTAGCCTTTCCACATCAAACTCCCCTTCTTTCATATGATTCCCTGCACTCTGCCGAGGGTTTGGTTATGAGTCTTAGTATCTACTTTGGAACACTGCCAGGTAGAGTCTTTCAGATGCTTTCTGCGGTAGACTCCTGTCATACGTTCAATGCATTTCACCTTACACCCATCAGAATGGCCAAGATGAAAAACTCAAGTGACAACACATGCTGGAGAGGTTGTGGAGAAAGGGGAACCCTCCTCCATGGCTTGTGGGAATGTAAACTGGTACAACCACTTTGGAAGTCAATCTGGTGCTTTCTCAGACAACTAGGAATAGTGCTTCCTCAAGACCCAGCTATACCACTGCTAGGCATATACCCAAAATTTGCTCAAGTACACAATAAGGACATTTGCTCAACCATGTTTGTAGCAGCTTTATTTGTAATAGCCAGAACCTGGAAACAACCCAGATGTCCATCAATGGAGGAATGGGTACAGAAATTGTGGTATTTTTACACAATGGAATACTACTCCTACTTCATTCTAATGTTCGAAGTGAGGCAACATTTTCCATTTCACAATAAGATAGCCATCAAATAAAAACAGTAGTAGAGAAAACGAAAAATAACATTTAAGATAAAATAATGAGATAACACTGCTCTCTTCGATAGTATTCATTTTTACCCCACTGTTTCAATGTGTCTGTCTTTGAAAATCTCCACAGATGGTTCACAAGCACCAGCTAGACCCCCCAAACCGCGACCCCGCAGGACTGCACCAGAAATTCATCACAGAAAGCCCCATGGGCCCGAAGCAGCGATGGAAAATGTCGATGCAAAAATTGCAAAACTCATGGGAGAGGGGTACGCCTTTGAAGAGGTGAAAAGAGCCTTAGAGATTGCCCAGAATAATGTGGAGGTGGCCAGGAGCATACTTCGCGAATTTGCCTTCCCTCCTCCTGTCTCCCCACGTCTAAACCTATAGCAGCCAGAACTGCAAACACCAAAGGGTAAAGCAGTTGACAGATATTCCAGGATTGTGGAACAAAAGGACTGAGAGGGAACGCAGGAGCCACGGCGACTTTTTGCGTGGCATCTCCACAAGGGCCGCCTGGAGGCCCGCTCCTCTGGAGACCACAGCTCCCTTAGGATGCCCACGCTGCAGCTTCTGTGTTTGTGCTAGCCATACTTTTAAATCAGGGTTGAACTGATAAAATAATTTAAAGACGTTTACTCCCCCTTGAACTTTGAATCTGTGAAGTGCTTTTCCTTGTTTACATGTTGGCAGAATTGCAGTTTGTCTCTGTTTTTTATTCCTGTACTGTGTTCCTGACGGGCCCTTTGCGGAGTCAGTCAGGTCTGCTGTAAGCCTTTCCATGCCCACTGGCCGTGCTGCCCACAGCAGCAGCAGAATCACCTCTGTGTTGCTCTCTATCCAGGCCCCACCTCAAGTCCCCTGGTCCAGTTCCATTTCTCCCATTTACACAGCATTCCAGTCTGAAGGTTCTGAGTTTTTGGCGTTTGAAAACTAATGCAGAATGAAAAAGAAAATGTGTGTGGTCGTGTCTTCACTACTGAGTCATTTCTTTGAGAACCATCACTGTTGAGAGGTGGGAAAAACCTGAATGTAAAAAAACATTTATTTGTCAATAAACTGCCTTTTGTAAGGGGTTTTTATATAATACAAAAGAGCTTCCCTTGTTAGTTTAAACTCTGTGACCTTTAGTTTTCCATGCTCTCCCTCTTGCTGACCCAGGAGTGCCATGATGCTGTATAAGTGACTACTGCAGATGCAGGGAAAACCTGATTGCACCAGACAGTGCTGTCCTCCGGTGCCCTCGCATGTATGCCTGCTTCTCTCCCAGGAGAGCTGAGAAGGGGGCCACCGCCTCACAGTATGTCAACACACCGGCCTCCTCCTACTGGAATACAGCCCGTTTTCTAATTTCCCCACGTTACCCTGGCTCCTCACAGGGCAGGAGCTTCCCAAGGCACCCATGACTGTTGTCTGCTCCTGTCGGCCATGTTATTTGCAAAACTCTTAGTACCATTTCTCCAGTCAAATTAGGATTTCTGTTTGCTCTGTGGGTTTTCTCGTTGATTGTTCTGTGTTGCCCAGTCCAGTCAGATGAAACCATGGTATGTGTTACTTTTAATCTAAAAATATTTATTGACTATCTACAGTGTGCACAAACTCTCACAATCCAACTCCACTAATCTCTGTGTGTATGTTTGGTTGTAAATGCCTCTAATCTGATGCATGAGGCCTTGAACCTTGGTGCCAGGACTTCAGAACTCTTCAGTAATTTCAAGTAGGTTTGGTTTTTTTGTTTGTTTGTTTGTTTGTTTGTAAAATCCTTAGTAGTGGGAAAAAAATCAAAGCTATCTCCATGCAAAATGCTTGAGCCACATTTAGATACTTCCTAAGGATGGACTTAGTTGTAGGTTTCTGGGTGTTTCTTACCACTCCTTACTCTACACCCACTGTGACACACAGAGATGCCTCAGATAATAAATTTCTCGTCTTGAGTGAGGAGAACGAGGTAGAACGTCAGGTAGATCTGAGGGGGTTGGCATTGTACAGGACTCATGCACAAAGCCATGCTTGCCCAGGAGGAGGATCCAGCTTCTTTCGCCCCATGGCTTTCATGAGATGCATCAGGACTTGAAAATCCCTAGTCTCTGCATATTTGGGTTTGTCCAGATGGTCCTATGTTGCCTCTGCCACTAGAGGGGTGTTTTTTAATTTCCTTAGATACTATTCTTGTGATGATGTGTGAATACAGGTGTTTTTTTTTTTTAATTTTACAATTGGCTATTTGTTGTTTCTGCTCATAATTTTTTATTTGTTTTGTAAGTTCTGATGTCATATTGATACTGATACAGTGCTATGTATTTTGGGCTATCATGTAACTTGCCAACAATCAGCATAGCCTAAAACCCAGAATTGCCCCTTGGTTGTCCTGACATTGTTAGAACAGCCTCATTAGATTAGGGGGTTGATGGAAAACAGGAACACTGGGACCCACAGCATATTCTTATCCACTTTTAGATATCATATAAGAAATTCTCAACAGCAATTTAAAAACTAAAGTAGTGGTGACAGCATTTATTTGGACCTGAAGTTTAGGTTGGGGGTGATGTTATTTTCTGGATCGCACCGAGATCTCTGAGTTTTCCACTAAGTAGCAGCTGCCAGTTTTGTCATAAAGGAAAGTGAATCTAATCAATCATACATAAGACAGTACAGACAGGAAACACGAAAACTCACAGAATTTGTTTGTAAAAATAATTCAAATTATTTTTCATTATGAAAGGGACTACTAGCTAATACTTTGAAATGTTCCATACTTTGTTCCCTCTAATCCAGAAATGAGATATTTCTCCCAATACTCAAGATTTGAGCCAGTGTTTATAATCAATACAATTAAACCATGGCCAGTTTTAACTCCTACCTGGCATCCAGTGGTATCTCCAACTCCAGAGTTCCTTTTTTTTTTTTTCTTTCTTCTTCTTTTCTTGCCTCATCCCAACTCCCCACCCTCCATCCCTAACCTCTTGTTATCTGGTATATCACAGCCAAATTTTCTAGAACCAAATTCACACATTTTAATACTTAACTTGAGCTTGCTTCCACGATTAGAGTTGTCAGCCCTTTCCTTGCTTTGCCCTTGCCCACAGTGCGATACAGCCCTGACTACCACCGCCACGGGTCTGTTTGCTAACTCAGTATTGCACACACCAAGGACACATATGCAAAGATTTCTTCATAATGTGAACTTCTTAATTATTCAGTTCCGGAAGCATTTCCTGCGATTTGAACGTGACTTTGCCTCTTTTCAACTTGAAGCTTTAGTTTGCACTGAATTATCTCATCTGGTTTTAAAATGTCTCAAATGGACTGATTTGGAAGTAAAATATGGTATATTTTAAATATCAATGCAGGTACTGCCTGTAAACCTGGAATGTTAGAGCTTCAAGGAAGATGTTCTGGAGAAAGACAGCAATAGGACGAAAGGTTTTCTTCCCAGTTCCCATTTTTATTGTTTGAAATGCATTTTTTAAAACTTGTCTAATGTGGCAAAATAGTTATGTGTTCAATTAATTTATATTTTATTCGTTCTTTTTCAATCCTGGATATGTAACCTCAAGTACTTTATCTGTTCTTTTAAGGTATTTTATAAAATGAATGTTAACAAACAAAATGTGTATGTTCTTTTTCAAGTGAGCACAAATATTTCTTTGAGAACATGTCTCTGGTGTTATTTTTCTAAAGGATATGTATGTCAGAGAATTGAAAGTCGGTATTTCAGGTTACATGTAATGAGCACCATTTTCAAAGAAAGACTGGTTTGGAGAGGTTTACAAATAATAAATGGGCAGTTCCTGGTTGATACTAGCATCTGTTCTTTAAAATCTTTACATTTGTAATTACTGGATATGGATTAGTATATTACGTGGAGGAGAAAACTGATTGAAAGTAGAAAGAGCAGCCATATAAAGAGTAGATGTTTGGTAAGTGAATTCAAATGCTAGCAAATCATCAGTGGCAACTGCCTTTATGAGGAGACCTAATCAGGAAATTCTTTCTATATCAAGGGTCATAGCAAAATGTTATAAAATTAATTGGGACATGCAAAACCCCATGCACTGTAATGCTCAGATCCCCTGAATTCACACACAGTGAGATAAGCTATACATCAGTAATTCTATACAGTAAATACTGCATGTCACCACATCAGAACTCCACTGTATGACCCCTTATGGCTTCTTTCAGTGGCTATTCCTTGTCTGTGTGCCTCTTTATTCTCTGCTGAAATGGTCCCTTTGTTTTTTAGCTTTCAGTTGCCCATATAAAACCCATATCTGTTTTTGCCAGTCCTTCCTAATGTTTGTCTCTTTTCCGTTTTGCTAGCTTGGCTAATTCTTCACAAAGTACAGCCTTCCAAGTGTTCCAAGTATCAAGTACAACACTTCCAGTGTTTTATCTGTCAAGCGTGACCTGCCCTTTCCTCTGGGATAACTTGAGTATGCCGTCTATTGGGTATCATATAACACAAATACTGTGATCACCAATCAGTTGACATAACTCTTTGCCCATAAAGAAGCACGTGTGTTTCATTGCAAATGGAGAGTTTCACTTAGTAAAGTGTTTCCTGCAAGCAATAACAGCCCTGAGTTGTAGGTGAAATCATCTGGGTAGAAAGACCTCTCTTCCCTTTAATCTTGTTCCCTTCACTTATGGACTATACTATGAGCAAAACTAGTTATTCACATGAGTACTCAGGCTACCTTAATTTTCTTTTACTAGACAATGGGCCAAAATCACCAGCTATTTCAAAAATCACAAAAACACTAAGATTTAAAAGCATTCTGACATATTGGGATTCCTTCTGTGTTTGTCCAAAGCGAAACAAAACTAGAGGAGAGCCAATAGGAAATCATTTGGCAAGTATTACCACTGAAGGGCAAGTCTTGATCAACATCCCAGTAGCACCCAGGGACCCTTGTCAAGGCATTGAGCTTTGAACCATAGGGCCCTAGCAAAGGCCCCTGCCAGGCTCACTCACCCAAGAAGGTGAAGGATATATATGTCAATGAACAGACTCAAGGGAATCAAGCCAGTGGATATGTGATGGATTAAGCAATAAGCCAATGTTCAGCTTCCTGGCAAACATGGAGTAAGCTTAGTATCCACATTTGAAGACTTAATACATAGAAAATTTCAAAAATGAACACCACTCTTCAGAAGCACATTGTGAAAGAGAAGAAATATTTCTCCCTTTGTAAAAGTCTTCCTGCTATTTCCAAAACCTGAAAAAAATAAAAAGCATAAAAGTGTTGAGGGTTGAGAGAAAGGGTTAGATCTCCACTCTACTTTTATGTTCTGATGTGTAATAGTGGCCAAAATTGGAACTGTGGACAGGATAGACTGAGTTAGAATATAGATGACTAAACAAGGAACAACAGGATCAAGATCAGTGACTAGAGAACAGACAGACGTCATTCACCATGTTGGTGCTCTACCAAGTCCAAAGTGTTCACTAAATAATGGGCATTTTGCTTCACAAGGGCATTAGAGATAGTGATTTCTTATAAGAGTTCCCCAAAAAGAGACTTGCCCCAGGAGATGCTAAGATCTGGACAGGTTCATTTGATTTCTCTGGAAATTTTTTTCTATGAAACATTCAGTTATCTCCAGCCCTTGAGAGCAAATCGTAGTTGATCCCTCCCAGTCCCTTGAGGAATTGCTTTCTTGTCAGCCAGCTGGAAGGGTCCGCCTCCATCTCATTTCTTCCTTTACTGCAGTGATTTTTTTTTTCTCCCTGAGTAAACTCTCTGTGCTTTGTTGGCTAGCCTATTTATGAAATAAATATAGGGACCATGAAATAAGACAGCAGGCAGCATCTTACCTAAAGCATCAGTGAACACTCTGCAGTTACTCTCAAACAGGACCTGTTTCCCTCGAGAACCATCTCCATGTAAGACATAAGGTATTTTTAAGAAAATTAAGCTTAACCACAAATGCCTAGGCCCAGGGCACTCATACATGAATCAAAACTAGCAGTGCCAATACATTTATTCACATAAATGTATAATAAGGTGCAATGTGGAATGTTTACCTATCTGGAATGTCATACAAAATGACGGAGAAGAAACTGGTGACAGCAAGACTAATGTATCTCTATAGGGCATTTTAATCTGAACTAACATAATTAAACATTTATATAGCAGTTGAAGCTTGGGAAAGTTTACGTTTTGTTTTCAAAGTTCTTAAACCCAAAGTTGTGACTCAGACACAGTATTCGTCATTCTCTTTGCACCTAGAGAAAATGGGTAAAGCAGAGAATATCAACCTCAGTTCATGAGATGCTAAAAACAGACAAGGGTATCATCCGCTGCTGTTAAGTTCATCCCACATATTAAACATGAGAGTGAAACCCAGAGGAATGACGTAAGATCTAAGCACTTCCTTTATAGGCGAGAAAGGATGCTAAGGATGTCATAGTAAATATGACTACAAAAGATAGACATTTATTGAAACCTATTTATTGAAAATGTACTTCTCTAGAAGTATTTTGTTGATTGGTCGTGCAGGTAAAGACAAACAACTGTTGCAAAGAGCTCAGGTTTTTGGAAGTGTGCATGATTCGTGCATCCTCCCAACCAAACTGACTTACAGCTACTGGTCTTTTAGCTGGCCATTCTGAGCATGTAGAAATACCTACCTTAACATTTTTATTTACTGTGTTCATTAAAGAGTAGAAAAGGAAAAACATGCTTCAGCCTACAATTTCTCAGCAAAAGAAAAATAACCTTAATTGCCTCATTCAGTGAAAATCTAATCCAGAAAGAAGGAGAACAAAAACATATTCTCACAGGTTAAATCAGAAAACATCTGCTTCATTTGTGAAGCTTCAGTATGTAGGCACAGAAGCACTTTTGGCAGCTGTGCTATTAATCAGTAAGAGGCTATAAAGTTGTCACGGTAAGGACACTGCAAATTCAGCTTTAATACAGTTTGCTTTTCACATTAATGACACGTAAGGACACTTGTGCCTCTCGTCATCACTTCAGAGCTCTGAAAAGACCAATGTTCTTGTTCCCATCTCAAAGGGCCACTACCACTTCAGCTCATGACTCGTCCTCCTTTGTGGTATTAACCCTTACATTAAATTCAATCAGAGCTGAAGATGGCATCAAGAGCCCTTACTTACCTTGTAAAGATCACACACATTCTTTCCATCTGGAAAATTCAAAAGTAACCAAACCCTCCACTGTTGATTAAAATCTGCCCAGATATCAATAAGGACATTCAAGCTTCATTTATTTGCTTAGAAGAACTGTCAAGATGTTTGCTAAAATTTACTACAGGAAATGCATTGAATTGAATAGATTGAACACTGTTGAGTGCTCCTGTTAATTTTTGTGTTCATCAGTTAAGTTAAAGTTCAACATTCTCGGGTCTGGTTACAGAAATTGCTTCACCTGGAAAAAATTTACATATGTCACAAGTCCCTTCATCTTGTGAAGATCTACAGGTAAGTTTAAATGGTATTATGTGCCTTCACCCACAGTTCTTCACATTTTGAAAAGAACAATATCTTAAAATGAAGAGGTAAGAGAACTAAAGCAGGTACCTGGCCATCACTCGATGCTCATAAGAGCATACCAGCCACCCCAGCTGCAGGAGGATTTGATAGTACTGATAAAATGTGCCACCCATTTGGGGAGCTAACTAGTCTGAAAAATAACTACTTTGCTTCATTCAGGGAATTCAACTATGTTTTAATAATCATATGCTATTTCAGCATAGGGACTAGCAAAATATCGCTTGATCCTATTAGAAGCTTGTAAGGACCTCACCGAATAGAGGACAGCACCCTCTACATCCAGTGGCCATGAGCTATGACTTACTAATATGCCTAGCAAGAACTAGGTGAGGTCTGTTCCCCACCATATAGTAGAGGAACTGCAAATGATGGATCTTAGTTACTCCTCAGCCTTGTGAAGTTAATAAACAAACATACCAGGAAATAGGAAAAATAGACCTATCTTCAAGTGAATGAGAGACTGTGAAGTCAAGGATGTCTTTAGAATCTATATGATCATTTATATATACCTATGGGGTTGGAAGGCTGTGTGACCAGGGGAGCCTATCCAGAGAAGGAGCGAAGCTGAGATGTGTCTAAACTCAGAAGATCTCATCCTGAGACTGGCAGGCGTAAGACTGCTTCCTTCATGCTCTTGGCCTACATGTCCTGTCGCTTGTAGCCTTTATGACCCCCACCTCTGCCACCCATGAAGCAGTTGTGTATGTAGCCTGGCTCCCAGGTTTCAAGTTAAACTGCCTCTTTCCTTGGAAAGGCATGACAAGATAGTGCCTGGAATTCCTCTTCATACAAATAAAGCACTCCTACACCTCGGCCTCAACCAGTGACATACACTCACCCCAAAAACCCTTACCCATGCCCCAAGGTTTATATAGCCCTAAATTGTGCCTAAAAGGTAGAAAACCTAAGTGAGATGGTGGATTCTTGAACTTAGACATATTGCCAAATACTAAATGTAAAAAACTAAAATAAAAAATATAGACAAATACTGATATTGGGACTGAAACAGTCATTTAAAATTCCCCACCTGAAATGCTTCCAGGATTTGATGCTTTTCATAATGAATTCTACAAACTATTTAACAAAAAATAATCCCTATTCTCAAGCTTTTTCTGAGAAAAAAAACAGTCCTGGAAATGTTACAATCACTGATTTCAAATAATGTCATAAACCTAAAGCAACTAAAAGAGCTGTATACTGACTTTTAACACCTACAGACCAATAGCACAGAATAAAGAACTCCAAATGAGTCCACGTTAATCTAGCTAA